CCGAGACCGGTGGGCTACATAGTGAGTTCCAGGTCAGTCTCAACTACATAGTGAGACCCTGCCTCAAAAACCAATAATAATAATAATAATAATAATATAAATAAATGAAATCGTACAATATCTGTCCTTTTCTGACTGGCTTATTTCACATAAGTCGATGCCTTCACATCTCAGCCATGTGGTAGCATGTGTCTAGATTTCCTTCCTCGGGCTGTCGAAATATGTGTACATCACACATACTGCTTACCCATTCCCCCAGCATTGGACGTTTGTGAACACTGCTGCTGTAAACATGGGGATGCCAATAATCTGTTCGAGTCCGTTTCTAATTCTCTGGGGCACTCATCCAGGAGTGGAGTGACTGGATCATACGGTAATTCTATTTGTAACTACGGAGGAACTGCCATACGCTTTTCCATGGCAGCTGCACCATTTTACTTCCCACCAACAATGTATAAGGTTCCGATTTCTCCCTGATAGCCACCCTAAGGGGTGTAAAGAAATACCTCACTGCATTTTGGTTTTTGTTTTTTCAGTACCGGGGATCGAACTCAGGACCTTGCACTTGCGAAGCAGGCAGCGGAGCCCCTGAGCTAAACTCCCGGCCCCTCACTGCATTTATTGTGGTTTGATTTATTGTGATTTGCATTTCATTTGTTCTTTTTTGTTTTTGTGACTGGGTCTCACTATGTAGCCCAGGCAGGCCTCGAATTTGTGGCGATTCTCCTGCCTCCACCTCCCAAGTGCTAGGATGACAAGCGTGTGCTACTACACCTGGCTTGGATTTAGTTATGTTAAGAATCTTTTCACGTGTGTATGGCCATTTGTACATCTTTCTTTTTTTTTTTTGACAAGGTCTTACTAAGTAGATCAGACTGGCTTTGTTTTGGTTTGTGGCCTTTGAGACAGGGTCTCACTAGGTGATCCAGGCTGGCCTCGCATTATGCGGCCCAGGCTGGCTTTGGACTCACCCTCCTGCCTCAGCCTCCTGAGTGCTGGGACTACAGGTGTGTGCCACGATGCCAAGCCTGGTTTTGAATTTGTGCTAACTCCTGCCTGACCCTCCCAGCTAAGATTTCCTTCCTCCCTTCTTTCCCTCCTTCCTTCCATCCTGAGATAGTCTCGCTATATAGTTCAGTCTGGTTTTAAACCTCACTGTGTAAGCCAGGCTGGCCTCAAACTCAGAGTGACCCTCCTACCTCAGCCTTCCAGAGTGTTGGAATTATAAGTATACACAACTACACCCAGCTTCTCTGTTCCCCCCGCCCCAAGGGTTTCACAGTTGTAGCTCTTATATTTTGGTTTTTGATCCACTTTAGTGTATTTTTATTGTATTTTTGTAATACTGGAGATTTAACCCAAGGACTTTACATTGAGCTAGAGCCCATTTATTTATGTGGTACCAAGGATCAAACTCAGGACCTTGCACTTGTGAGGCAGGTGGCGGAACCACTGAGTGAAATCCCTGGCCCTTGAACTGATTTTTTGAGTGGCACTTTTTTTTTTAAGTACTGGAGATTGAACGCAGGGCCTCATGGATGTTGGATAAGCACTCTATCACTGAGGCACATCCCCAGACTATCCTTTGCCTCCTTTTTTGTTGTTTTTAGTAATGAGTATTGAACCCAGGAGCTTGTGCAATGCTAGGCAAACACTGCGCCACTGAACTATATCCACAATCTACCCCCCCCTTTGGAGACAGGATCTCACTATGTAGCTCAGGCTGGCCTCGTACTCATGATGCTCCCACTGTCTCAACCTCCTGAGTGCTGTGCTTACAGGGGTGCACCACCACTCCGGCCCCCTCTTTGATTTTACTTTTGTTCTTTTTTGTTTTGTTTTTTGTTTTTTTTGAGACAGGGTCTCACTATGTAGTTGAGGCTGACCTGGAACTCACTATGTAGCCCAGGCTGGTCTCGAATTCACAGCGATCCTCCTGCCTCAGCCTCCTGAGTGCTGGGATTACAGGTGTGCACCACCACGCCCGGCCCCCTCTTTGCTTTTAAATTGTATTTTGAGACAGGGTCTTGCTAAATTGCCCCAGGGTAGCCTTGACCTTGTGATCATCCTGCT